TTCTCTCTAACATATCTCTGGCAGTATTGGAGCGCCTCCTGCAATTTTTTGGAGGAGGATGCACCAGGACAGAGAAAAAAACAAAGACGGAACTCAACTTTTAAACAGAACAAATCCAAGCATGTGGCTTGCTGGAGGCTGTGAAGACAGGTGTGTTTCTGTGGCCACCCAAATGGAAAAAGACTGTTTAACTGCATCTAACTCAGTGCCAAGCAGGGTGCGGTCTCACTGCTCTGGGAAGATTTGGCCGCAAGTGGAGGGTGTGGGAGAGACACCTGTATGTACCCAGGCCTGTCACAGGAGGTATTTAGAGATTGTTCTCTTTGCCCTGCCAACAGTTCAAGAGACTGAAAGTATCACATCAGACAATTCGATAACTTTCCTGGAGGAGTGAGGCAATAAGGAGGAGAAAACAATTTGACACAATAAAAGGAACAGCAGATGAACATGCCCATGTTAACAATGGAAAATATAGCAGCACTGGTACTACAAACAGTGATTAAAAATCAGAAATACACCTTTGTACTTGATAACAACAATAACGCAAATAAACATACTGAGTAATACAGCATGGAACCATGCAGATTTGTGAACAGGATGAAATAATGCTGTTTCCTTTTGTGTTCTAGAACTGAGTTTGAGGATTCAGAAACTGCTCCACAATTCCAGTGAACCATTAATCAAAATCATTAAAGTAAGATAAAAATCAAATTAAAAGGCAACTTCAGTAAACCATAACTATATGTTCAACTATATGTTCTCCACCTTCAAACTCAGCTAAAGGCACATATAAATAAATCAAAAGTCCAAAGCGTAGCCAACTCAGTGGTCAAATAATCTAGTTCACAAGATCACAGAAACTGAGAGAAAAATGGTGCATATAATCAGGAAGAAACTCCCAACATGCTTATAAAAACAGCACTCAAACAAGGAATATTAAAAATCAAATACCAGAGTAAATAAGCAACTTCAGCACATCAAGGCAAACAGAGTCCATTAAGCCACCATCAGCTAAACCAAAATAACTTTTGAACAATTCATAAACATGGACTGATTTTTTTTTTTATTTGGCATGAAAATAGGCTTTGAGAACATAAATACTTGAAGGTCCAGAAACAGTTAGGAAATGTAGAATGAAACTAAATTGAAAATTAGTAAGACTCGGGCAGCTGGTCCCCAGATATTCTTTAAAATATTTCACCCTAACTCTCTTGATGTTGGTCAAAAGACAAACCAGTAATTGGGTCCTTTAAGTGAGAACAGCTCTAACAACTCAAAAGGAACAATATTTCTTTTTGACAAGTATGGGCAATATTTTAGTGAGAGATTAATACAACCCTATCTGCCAAAAAAAGCAATGCTTATAATGTTATTTTCAGTGTACAGCAACCTCTCTGGAACAGTATTAGATTGTTCAGAAGTGGAACAGTGTATAGGAAAACAAAATCCAGCTCTTCAAAGGACATGAAACAGGAGATATCATCTGGCACTGAAAAAAGCAAACGTTTTTGTAGAACTGCCTACCACTGTGGGGACTACGTACCACAGTGACTGAAAAAGACTGAACCACTATACAAAAATTGTCTTACTGACTTCTCTTGAAGGTAGAAACATGGTGCCCTGAATAGTCTCTTTTTCCTCAGACAACTCTATGCACATACACAAATTTGATTCCCAGAATGACTCAGACAGCCAAAAGACCTTCCTATGCAAGACCAGTTTCCTCAACATTCACCATCAGATCTTGGATCTTGCAAGCACATAATTTTAGACTTCTGATTGTCAGCTCAAGTTGAGCAAATCAGGATTAACCTACTGTATTTAGATGTTTCCATTTAAGCTTAGCATTATGTTCTCTTTGTCTCAAAGCACAGAGGAGGTAAGATTTGTTCCCACTTTTTTGGTAAGAACAAAGATCCTTTTAACTTCATATCCAACAGTGACCAGAAGCAGATGCGTGAAGAACACGAACAGGAGACTAGAAAGGATACTTCCCACCAGTAATGTCCCAGCTACTAGACATCAGAGCAAAGACTTTGAATCACATGTGGTTCCTTTGTATTAACCATTTATGAGTTTATTCAGGAGCCCCTTGTTCATCATTTTGGCCTTCTGCCACCTTTTCCTGACTTACTGCTTTGTCAGGATGAACCGTTCTTGACCTTGAAGGAGGTGATGTCTGAAAATCAAGCAGCTCTCCTAGACTCCTCCTCTGTGCAGGACCATGACCCATGGGATTCTTCCAAGCAGATCCCTGAAGAGCCCAAATTCTGCTCTCCTGAGGTCTAGGGCTCCAGTCCTGCTTTTTGCATTGCTCCTTCCTCTCTGGATCCAGAGCTCAAATACTGCATGATCATGGCAGTCAAGGCTGCTCCTCACCTTCACATCCACCACCAGTTCTTCCTCATTTGCCAGTAGAAGGTCCCGCTTATCAGCCATTTGTGTCAGGGAGTTTTCATCAGTACACTCCAGAAAACTGCTTGATTGCTTGTGCCCTGCTGTGCTGTCCTGCCAACAGACATTTGACATGGTTCAAGTACCCCATGAGGACCAGGGCCAGCGAACAAGAGGCTTCTTCCAATTGTCTGAAGAAGACTTTGTCTACTTTTTCCTGATCAGGTGATCTGTACTAGCCACCCACCACAGTGTCACCCATGCTGGTCTGCCCTCTAATCCTGACTCATATGCTATCAGCTGGCTCATCGCACATCCCAAAGCATGTATTCCAGCTGTTCTCTCACAGAAAGGGCAATCCCCCCTCCTTGCCTTCCCAGCATGTCTTTTCTGATCAGCCTGGCTTCATCCACTACAGTAATTCTGTAAGCTACCCCAGTGGATGTCCATGATTCCATAGCTCTGCAACCAGGCTGCAGAGGAAAAACTGAGCCATGTTGGAGAGGAACCTAGGCAATGTATGCTAACCTGCAGTTCACCATGCATTTCAGTTCTTGGGTCATGTGAGCTATCCCACCATGCCTCTATGTTGTCAATGAGATCATAGCTCTGCAGCTACTAGCAGAGCTCTAATTTCTCTTGTTTATTCCCCATACTGCATGTATTTGTGCACAGGCGCTTTAAAGGGGCACCCAGCCATGCTAATTTCCCAGAAACTGTACGAGGGCTTTCTTTTTGCCCATAGATACTTCCTTATTTATGTACACACACTTGAAGTGCACCCCTTTTTTTAAAATTATGAAGTCTGTCCTGTTCATATCAGTCCTCATATGTTTTGTACCAATCCTTCCCACCACTTTCTCACTTGATTATTAATCATCCTCTTCCTCCACTGTTGTTCCTAGTTTAAAGCTCTTCTTATCAGGTTGGCCAGCCTGTTGGCAATGATGTTTTTGTCTCATTTAGTCAGGTGGATCCCATCTCTTCCAAACAGTCCTCAATCCTCAAAAAGGGTCCCATGGTCATAGAAACCAAGTCCCTTTTGCCAATGCCAGCTGTGCAACCAACTGTTGACCAGCAGGATCCAGCCACTCCTCCTCACCACCCTTCCACTCACCAGCAGGATCAAATCGAAACCCACTTGGGCCCATGTGCCCTTGACCATCATTCCCAGAGCCTGCTTGCTACTTTCCAGGACTCCTCTGGCAGTATCATTAATACCCACATGGAAGACCACCAGGGGGGTAATAGTAGGTGTAATGAGTTTTGCAAGTCTTTTAACAATGTCCCCAATCCAAGTCCATGGCAAGGAGTAAACCTCCCTAGGTCACAGGTCCAGCTGTCAGAGGAGGCTTCTGTTCCTTGCAGCAGGGAGCCTTCCATTACTAACACTCACCACTTTTTCTGGTGCTCCTGCTCATGGTCAATGGGCTCAGACACCTCGTATGACAAAGATCCCAGCTCCTGATTTGCTATGACAGCACTGAATCTGTTCTGTGGTAGCAAATCTTCAGGGGAAGCAAGAGCCTTCCTCTTGGTGCCAGAAGTCACAAGCTCCCAGCCTTTGTCTTCATGAGAACCTCCATTTCCCATCCTGATGGGCATAGATTCAGCTTGCCTCTCCTTTGTTAGAAAAGGGAGGAGTGGGCTCTTGAAGCTGCAGAGTCTCAGGGACTGAGTCTGTCTCTTGCTGTCAAGGTCCAGATAGGGCTAATGATGCAGAAATTGATTATCATGAAGGATTTGATCAATCTGCAACAACTCTTTTACTCTTTAGTAGCCACTTCCATAGGTACAGTGCCTCTACCTAACAAAGAACAATCATTTTGCTTACTTTCTCATCTTACTTAAAACAGCATAAAGACTTTCTAAGGCACCAGATGACCCTCAGACACCAACTCTAAGAGCCCAGATGAGGCACATTCCTCATTCTCCTGAGCACTGAAACCAAATTCAAGGTGAAAAAGTAGACAGCTTCCTGCAGCCCAGAATAATTTTCATAAATGCTTTGAGATAGCACTAAAAGTACTGATATTTTTTTCCTGCTTTCTTTCCAGCTTAATTCCATGACACTTTTCAGAGGTGTGATGTAATCCCGAAGTTTTCACTTATAATTCAACCTTTTTGTTATTATTTTAGACTGTTCATTGAAAACCATATCATGTTTCTTCATGTGGTATGTTGGGTCAGAAACCACTGGAGAAATCATGTGACTGCCTGTATAAGCCAAAATTCTGTGTAGTGAAAAAGAAGGAAGAGACAGTTTTTGTAATGAAATATATCACTGTGGAGCTGACTGGAGGACCACAATGATATAAACAACATATGGCCCTGTACAAAAACCCAAAGAAGGAAAAAAGGCAATATATTTCAAGGAAGAAAGGAGATAGGTGGCTGAAATGATTAAGGAGATAAAGACAACATTATTTTTGTATTTCTATTTATCCTGGACATGTAGAGCTCACAAGGTTTCTAAAAGATGGAAGAAAGGGATAACTTGGGAATTCTGTACTCAGTCAAGCTATTTGAAATCATTGAACTATTCAATTATTGTTTTTCACTTTCCAGTTTTGGAAAACAATGTGGCTCTGGATATCCTCATGGAGTTGCACATGTGGATAATTAGGAAAAATATCTGGCTTTTCATCTCCTGTTTTTACAACCCTTTTGAATACCATGAGCAAAGAGTTACTTATTGGAATAAGTATTAACAGTGTGAGCACTGATAAGCTTGCATTTGGAAGTGGGACCACTCTCACAGTCGAACCAAGTAAGTACCATTATTTTATTTCTAAAACTTATGTTAAAATTAAGGTGGGGGAGGACAAAGTAATCTAATGGTTTGGGTTCACTGTAAGAATTTTCTGCTGCAATAATCCCTAGAGTGCACTCTCTCTGGCCAGGGTTTCAAGCTGAATCCTCAGCTTGTATCCACTTAGGAAGGCTTCACAGGAACAACTGGGCTACCTCTGTATATCACCATTATGCCATGATCCCCAAACACCTGGTGTGCACTACTTAAGTTTAGCACATTATAATTTATTCTCAGTCTGGTTAGCACGCTGGTCCAAATTTACTGTGAAGTGTCCTATCCTCCAGTGGCTTTTCACTGCCTCATTTTGAGCAGGAACATACATCTTAGTGAAGAGCTGACAGTGGAGAGAAGTTTTGTGACAGATCTTTAGCTCTCTGGTATGAGAAGTTAGTTTTTGACACTGGCGCCACACTCATAGTGTCACCAGGTAAATAATTCCACTGGCATGGAGACAGAGGAGGAAGGAGGTTAAATGTCCTTGGGCTTAAATTTTCACAACTGCATCATATCCAAGACCGCTTAAAATGAATGAAAACTGGCTACCAAGTTGCCTAGGCTTTGAAAATGCAGATATGGTGAGTAGGGATTATAACAAGCCTTAGTCCTTCCTATCTTTATTTGGAACTTCATGATGTACAAAAAAAAGGTCGCTGTCACCCCAAGCTTTTCTGTGGGAGTGTGAATGTTGGGGTAGCGGGGGAGTTTGTTAGGTTGATCTTTGTTATCCTAAACATCCAGGTGCATACCTTTAGAGTTGTTATGATGCTTTCAGAGGTCTGCATGTCTTTAAAGTGCTGAAAAAGTGTCCCATGTAATTTTACATACCTAAACCATCCTGCTCTCATTTCAGAAGGGCACGGGGCTCCCTTCAGTGCTGCCTAATATCTGTCCGGGTCTGTAGGATAACTTACATGGGAATAAATGTATATTTTGGAACAATTTAAGTCCAATTCCAATTCCAAAGGGGCAAAGGAATACAAATTTACCATTCTGAAGAAAGATCTGTTCTTTCCAACCAGCAAATCCTCAGTTGTAAATGTAGGACCAGAAGAGACTGCCGTATTCCATTATTTTAACATCAGTCTACATTGATTTGAAGATGATATTTGTCAAAAAAAAAAAAAAGAAGAGGTAAAATATCCCATAGAGAATAGTAGAATCTGGCAAGAAAAAAGCAACCAACAAAACACAGTCTAAGAGCTGGCAGGTGTAAGACTGAGCAATGGTATTGCCATTTCAGACCTTTACAGAAATGCTGGTATGATACTCTTGTTTCTCACATAAAGGGTTTTTTATGTCTTTTAAAAAAGTTTAGTTTGTTGGTTCTTTTGCTGACAAGAAAATACTTGTTTCTTCTCATCAGCTGAAGGTAGCATGTGGGCTTATTGACTGCAACAAGGTATTCTTGGTTTAAGGAAACTTTTACAGTACATTACTGAAATTTCTAAAACATCTTCCCTCAGTTTCCCACAACTTGGGTTAGAGAACAATTAATTTCACAAAAAAAAGGTATTAGCCTTGCCTTCTCCTCTACCCTGAAATGCTTTAAATCATTCTTTCCCTGCTTTTCCTGCCTATGTATCCTCTCTGATATCCTGATGCAAAAGTACATGAAACTTCAGTTGCGTGAAGTTTCCATGCTGTTCAATGATTTGTCTTTTTCTAGCTAAGGATAGTATGACATTTTCAAAGCTGCACAAAGACTTTAGGATTATGTTTCACGGTAATAGGCTTTAAGCATCTAAATCAGGCAGTGTCTGTTGAAATAATAAGTTGAAGCCAAAATTGCCAGAAATTGAGCAACCTGACCCTTTTGTTGTTTGGATTTCTTTGGGAGATACTAATATGCATTTTAGGATGCTAAGAACAGACATACTTTATTACCCAAATCTTTTGAGAATCCCCAAGATGAAAATCACATAGAAAAATATGCATTAGCAGTCACTATAAGATATTCAAAGCATATTCTCTTGAGGGCTCAGTTAAAGACAGATAAGGGGTTTGGTTTGGTTTGGTTTATTCTAGATAAAACTTTCATTAAGAATACTAAGGCCTATAACATTATGGAATATATAGCTCTTCCCATGACTTTGTAAGATTAAAGGGAAAAGAAGCACAACTTTTTGTGCTAATAAAATGCCACTGCCAGAATGTAATATACAAATCCCTCTCAAAAGCAAGCAGTGGTAGAAATTCATGGCTGTATTTTTAGGTAATGCAAAATAGTGGGACTCAGTTGAGGCTTCTGGGGTCTGATAAAGAAATAATTCTTCTTTATTAACTACAGTTGCACTGTGTACATTTGTTCTTGCTGAAGATCTTACCCAGTGAGTTATGCCAGCGAAGCAGCTTGCTAGTATGCTGGCTGTTTGAAAATACTGGAGATCAGAAAACATGAAAAGCCTTTAAAGATCTTCTCAGATAACAATGAATGCACAGGACTAACAGGCTGTGGCAAAACCATGTTACAGCACCTGGAAAGGAAATGTATGTAGAAAGAATAGCAAAATGAGCCCTTTTTGATTTACATGTTTTAACTGTGTGTTACTGTTGGTTTTGTCTTTGGCAAGGGGACTCAACTGACTGTGGTGCCAAGTAGGTATTCTTTATGCATTAATCTTTTCTGAGTTGTTATTCCTTGGATTTTCACTTTTTCTCCTTTTCTTCCTCCTAAAATTCAGGCAGCCACTCCCCCATGCTTTAATGTCACTAATTAGACTTCAGGCTTTCTATGTATAACATTTTTATATGTAATTAGACAATTTAAGTATAAAAACCATGCTGATCCCACTTCCCAGGAGTTGCCAAAGAATCTAGGCTCCACAAGGACAAGTCCTGTCTGCTATATGCTAAATTTCTTTGGGACCTAACATCTATCCACTTACTCAGGCATCTTAATAATTTTCATAGTAATTGCTAGGTTTTAGAGTCATGCTTGGACAGTCTAAAGGGAAATAAATTTTCTGTGGAGGTTGACATTTAAGTTTCTAAGACTGTCTATTCTGTCAGAGTTACAAAGACAGCACTGACAGGAGGGAAGTATAATGTACAAAAGCATTAAATAGAATCTTATGCAATATTTCTGTACTAGTTTAATGTCACTAAATTGTTCAGAGTTTGGGTTAAACTGAATAGGTCAAATGAAGTCAATGAATGTTTGATTCCTGTTTGGTATCTGTTTGCTGAAGGTGTTGACAACCATGGAGTTGTGCTTGTTTTATTAGTAGACCCAACCCATGAAGTTATGACAGAGTACTACTTGACTTCCACTTCAGTCCCTCAGTATTGGGGTATGGATGGTGGGGAAAGAGAGTAAAATCAGAGCCCCTTGATCAAACCTTGAAAAAATACCCTGTGATGAACAAAATGTTAGACCTGAGGGATCTCTTGACCAGACTGCAAGGCAGATGCCATGCAAAATTCAAAGCCTAATGCAGCTCTCTTTAGCAAAGAGACCCATCAGGATGCTCCTGTCAAATTGGACATGTAAATCTTTTTTGATATGTCTCATAGCATTTCGTAAGCTGAGCTCTTTTTGGCAAGGATGCATGCTAAATGATTCCCTTCAGTTTCATGTTTTTATGTTAATTCATGTTACTAATCTTGTCCTGATACTGGTATGTGGAATCACCCCAGTTTCTTCACCTATGACCTGAGGGCAAAGATATTTTATTTTTAAAGAAATCATGATATCATAATGATTTGTTGGCTACTAAATTATTTTGAGACCAACTGTTTCCTTGAAAGACATCCCCTTCAAGTTTAAGCAATCTTATTTCATTACTTGTAAGTCTTATAAGAAATTCACAAAGAGGGCTGCTGCTATACAGTTGAAATTCAGGCTTTTGCAGTTCTCAAGCCTTTGTCATTTATGTATGTTGCTTAGAATTGGGAATTCAACTCTGAAATTCTTTCAAAACTGAAAAAAAAATATAGCTAAAAGTTTCAGAGTAACTCTTCTGAAAGATGCATGAGAGAGCAAGGATCCCAAATCCTGTGAATACTTGTCAGCATCTTTTAGGTTCTTTCAAAACTCCAGTTCTAGGGCACGTTTTTCATGTGTCAATGTTTGTTGGTATATTAACACTGAAGGACTATCACTGAAGGTTATTACAGTAGTCGAGGGAAGATTGTGAGAAGAGTTGTCCACGGACATCAAAAGTTCATAGGCCTTGGGGTGTTCTTCCCTTCAAATCAGTTTATTATACAAATCCGGCATTATACTTCTAACTGCCTGGGGAGTTGTGGGACTAACAATATGGTACAGCACATGGATGAGAAAGGTCACAATTTTGGAATAGGCACAAGAATTTTTGTCGAACCAAGTACCAATGCTGTTCTCTTTTCATTGTCTCCAGACTGGGTTGGAAAGTCTTATACCATGTGCAATGACTAGTGGGGAAGACCTCCCTCACAATTTAAAGTTCTTGACCTTATCAGAAACTCCTGGAGAAGTGGAGATACGCAATTCATGGCCTTCTGATTGCTTCTCTCCTACTCTCCTATCTTAGAGACAAAAATTCATCTTACGTCTGAGCATTTGTTATTGAAAAGATCAACCTTGCCCTCACTCCAGCAGCAGTACTTAATTTCTGCAACTGATGTAATTCGTTGGAGTGACCTCGCACAACAGTGAAGCAACACTGTCTTCTCTTTGCCCTACCGTTCTTGCAATGGTTAGACCTTTTTAGCCACATCAGAAGAAGATTTGGGGGAGGGGAGGGAGAGTAAAGGAAAAACAGTTATTCCTTCATGCCTCATGAATATGTAAGACAGTCCTTGATAGAAGTGTTATTTTTAGGAATTAAATTGTTGAGAAAGCAGAATGATTTGACTTTTGGAGTGGCATACATAAAAGTTCTCCTCTCATTTGCAGGTCTCTTATTTACAAAATAAAGAACTCACATATAGGGACGAGCTTTGACAAAAGGAAACTTAGAATCCTGTGGAATTAAAGCACTTATAAAAAAATACTCTCATACACCCTTTCTGCCTTTGATCTGATCTTTTGGAAGCAGCAGTAAGAAATAATGACAAAAAAGGCAATTAGTCATTGATGATGCTAGGAATTAGTCACAGCTGGAGTATATATGAATTCCAGGTGACTTAGCACTCAGGCAAGCTTGCAATAAAATCAAATCATGCCCAAACAATGCTTTTTTTTACAGACATTCAAAAAAGTTCTAACCCACAAGTCATTGTGATGAAATCAAAGAATCTGGAAGGAGATGGCAGCTTTGGGAAAGCAGCTTGTTTGGCAAGGAATGTCAATACAAAGACCATCAGCTTGGAGATGCCCTCTAATGCGGTTGTATATGAACAGAGCACACCCATTTTGACATCAGTGGGGTTATATGATACTATTAAGGTGGTCAATGTGACAAAGGACACAGAGGTGACCTGCACGGCCCAATTCAACGGCATCACTACTACAGTCAACGCATCTTTGCCAGGTACAATTTTGTGGTACAACTGCAACTTATTTCTGGAGGCAGTGTCTTCTAGTGCTTGCTATTTCACCTGCTATTGAGCATTGCCTTGGGTAACCAGCAAAAATGGGAAAGACATCTGGTACTTAAGCAGGTAGAGCTGAAAGATGTTTAAAAGCATCTAAAATAAATAATCTTAACTGTTTAACAACTTGGAGTTACTTTTTTTGTGGGAAAAGACAACACAATCTTTTTTAAAATGCACATTTACCTATGGCTAAATACTTCACCACATAGCAGCAAATGTCTTAGAGCACAGCCTGAAATAGCCTTTCTAAAACCAACAAAAAGTTAAAGTGGTGGTGTGGTTGGTTTTTTTCCTAAACCACTTATATTTTGGGGGATTGTTTTTGTCATCATGAAGCTCATTCAAATAGCAAAAATGAAACAACTCAGTAATTCTTTTGTTTCCTGCAATTTCATGGAGAAATCTTCTCCTCAAATTAATGTTAGAATTAGTGACCGGTTATCTGAGCCTCAGACCGTACTGCACACGTGTTCCTATGGCAAAGGTCATATGAACATTTTGTTTAATCACTTTTAAAATTTGGATATAGTTTATAATGCATTTGCTTTATCATGCTACAGAAAAGGAGCCTGAGGAACCAGTAACACGGAAGGTTTGCAACACCACAGACACCTCTGAACAAGGTTAGTTGCCTAAATAGATTATGAAGTTACATTACTGTGTTGGGGAGAAATGCATAGAAATGTGTTTTCTCAGGGGTAGAGGAATCAGAATACAACATATTCATCAAACACAGCCTGCTTTTTCAAGGTAGCTGGTTTAGTAACAGATAAGCAACAGGAAGCAAAATCCAAACTAGACAGATATTCTCCTTCCCTGTTGTTGCCATGTTTCCCTATCATCTTTTCCTTTGCTGTTGTTTCTTTCCCTGAAACTATTACCTGTGGTTTTTTCCGCTTTCTGCCAATATCACAATATCCAAATCTAGACCATGACCTCTGCCATCTTTTCTCTATCACTAAGCAGATACCAACGTGGAGAAAGCGAACATGTTGTCTATGGCTGTGTTGGGTTTGAGAGTCCTGCTGGCAAAAAGTATCGCCTTCAATACGCTCATGAGTATCAAGTTGTTTCTTTTCTGAGGTAAGGAAGCACATAGCTTGATGTGTAGCAATACTAGAAGCACATGCCAGGAAAGACTGCCTGTCTGTGTACTCCTCTAACTCCACAAGCAACGATACCTGTTCATTTGCTCCTGTTTCCTTTAAATAACTCTTGCAGGTTTCTGGGGAAAAAAATGCCAACCACAAAAAAACCCCAAACAAACCAACCCCAAAAAACAACTAAAAAACCGCCCTCCCTCCCTCCCAAGTCACAAAGAAAACAGCCCCTTTCTCTATCCAAAGCTCAGTTCTTGGTGGCTGGTCCCCAGATTTTCTTTGCAGGAAACTTGCTTTGCCAGAGCAACTCAGGGATTACCAGAAGTGCCTAAGAGATATCTCATTGACTATTTCAAGTAGCAGAGCACAAAGCCTAGAGAAAAATCAAGACAAATAAGGAGTCAAAAGCAAGGCTCCCAAAACACAAACATGTGAAGTAGTGGGAGAAAAGAGAGGAGGGGGGAGGATTTTTAAATTAAGTTATCCAAAGAGGCACAAAAGATAGTCCAGCCTAAGTTTTGTGAGTCTACCTGTCTTGACCTGACATCTATCAAACAGTGGCACGTAGGCCCAGTTGCATTAAATATAGTTTAAAACACATTTGCTCTTCCAGGCAGTGGGGAAGCAAGACAACAGCAATCTGAAGAACAGCAGGAGAGAGCGTGTACCAGCAGCACAATGGGTTGAACAGCCGATGTCATATCTGCTGACAGTAACCATCCAGAATATAACACAGCACCTTCCCCTTAAGACGTTTTATATTGTTGAATCCTGCCTAGCTAGTTTATTTGAAGAGTTGTAACTTCTTTTGCTATTTCTTTTTCTCTGTGAATGGAGGAGACTGTATTTTTCCTCATAAGAGGAAAAGTAGAGATTAATCTCCCCACTCTTCTAGCCTTTGCATAGAAGCATCCAACCTGCTTCAGCAGTCTTGAAAAATCCAGTCCTCACTGTAGATATATGACCTGTTTAGAACACCTTTTACAGGCATGTTGCATTACTGTCTGGATTGATGTACTACTGCTGAGACACTTCAGGCACCATAGATGCTATTTATAGCTTTAATGTTTTTTTTAGATAGCTTTAATAACAATAATTTTCTATTGTAGATGAGAAGACCTATGTTAGATCTGAAATGATTCAATTCAACCAGATAATGTTCAACCATAAAAACATTTCTTTGTTAAACCTGTATTTCTTCTGCAAAGCGTATGGCACATGCATTTTAGATTACTGCAGTAGTGACCAAAATAAAGTTTTACTAAGTCAAAATGCTGTGGTTTGTTCTGTTTTTTAATTCTGAATTTGAGGTAGAGATTGCTGAAATCCAACTGTCCTAATGACCAGTGAGATTAGAAATACAGCTTTGATAACCTAGATTTCCTGTTGGCTGAATTTGTCTTTTCTAGACTTTGTACAGAGAAGTGGAGATTCTCTCTGGCACATTAAAAAGCTTCAGTAGAGCCATGAATTTTAGACTTAGGGGATTTGAATGAGGTCTGGTCTTTCAGATCACTTTGAAGAGACCCCAGCAAGAGATGTTGCATCATAGCAAAAAAAGACACATCTAAGGAGAAATCAGTTAAGAGACAGCTTGATATGAACATGAGGAAGGAAAATACACATATCAGAAGAGAAGAAAACATTCTGGTTTTTTCCACTCGTTGATTCTAGGAAGAGACCAACAGGAAATAATATATAGGGGTTTGATGGAGCGATAGTTTCCATAGCAACTTGGTTATTAGTCAAAAAGATCCCAACACACACATTCCCCAACTCATTTTTCTCTCACAAGCAACAGGCAGGATGCTGTGGTCAACATTTATGACTAAGCTACACCATGCAAAATTACCCCCCCCTTGTTTTGAAAAACAAATTAACCACATCCTGAAGGGGAAATAAGGTTTTTCACATACTGAGTGAGTTACTGTTGGCTTCAAGATAGCCTCTGCAGAGTGCATAGTAAGGTCTGTTTAATTAAGGTTTGTCAGGTTAGTCCCTCAGACCTTGCAGACACCTAGAGGAAGACCCTCACCCTATGCAGAAGGTAAGTGAAATTTGTATGGCAAATCCAAAACAGCAAAATGCTTACTTAGTGCATTCTACCACCGTAATGTAAATCGGGGGAGCTGTTCACTAGTATTTTTATCCTGCTTTTCTGATGACACCCTGAAACTTTTTATCTTGCACTCTACACCTTTTCCCAAGCTCTTAGGCAAGACTCAGACTGGGAGTACCATTTCTGTGTCTCTGTGCAAATCAAGGAATGACATTTTCCTGAGTAGTTCTTGGTTGTGCCTGAGGGCTTTGGCAGAATTAAAATCCTGCAACACTGCACAAGCAAAAAGAATGATCTACAGATGTGTGACTACTGAGGGATAGCATTGACTCACACAGAAATTTATCAGCCAGATAAAGACAACAGTCTGTATTGTTTCAAACACCCATCCACATTGGCACAGGACACCAGAGCCCTCATTTCCATCACAAAGAGATTCATGACCTGAGTGATACCTCCATGGTCAGGTTTTTCAGACCTCCCTGTGCACCACTGGGAAACCGGTTAGTGCACGAACATCTATGCCCTCGCTAATCCCCTAAAATGTCAGTCACCCAAGTCTCTGTTATCAAGGTCTTAGTCAAAAAAAGAGAAACTTGTGTCTTTGAGAAGGTGGTTCAAAGTCGTCAGCTCTGTGGATCATGAGAAGCAGGGAATACCCATCCATGAGTCTCTTGTGACAGTCTGTCATTCGCCCACATTGAGCAGAATTAGTCCCCATTGGAGTGGGCTAGCCTGGTGGCCAGGCCTGTGGCTCCCCTAAGACTTTATTTCAGCTCAGAGTACATGAAATAAGAGGGCCGTGTCACAGCTGGCCAAAATAATGTTTCTGAGACACGATGCCAAGGATGGATACTGAAGACAGCCCAGGCATCCTCATACTGTAGCCAAAGCGGGTGCAGTCTGTTTTTCTCACTTTATCTGGAGAAAACTATCTGGTTGGCTGTGGCTGGCCTTCTGGAAGGAAAGGATTAGCTTCCTGTGGCAAGAAGCAACCTATGCTGGCTTAGACTAACTGGTGATGAGAGGAAGAGGGAACAAACTGCATTAATACACACCCTGGGGAGAAGAGACGTATCTGTACCCAGTGAAGATCCAGCTGGAAGAAGCAGGTACATGTGCAGACACACAACCCCTTTCCAGCTCTTAAACTTCTAGACAGACTGTGCTGGATTTTTTATTTGAACCATTTCCCCTGTCAGGAGCTGTCTAGGTCTCATTATTTTAGTTTGAGTTAGGAAAGGGCCTGTAGCCCCTCTGTCCTATTTTCTGTCATTGTGACTTTCTGATTGCCTCCCACTATCAGTGGCTTTTCACTTTACAGTTGCAAATCTGTAATTTTCAGCCAATGCAGAACATGCATCTTAAGAAAACAGGAGGATGTCATTGTTGGCAGAAGAAAATCCGTAACAGGGAGCTTTTGTACAGCCCAATAGTAAGATTGTGTTGGTGCGGCTAATTCCACAGAAGAGGCCAGAGTCTGCAGCTCTCCTAGCTGATATGAGCTAAGGGAAAGTTTTTGTAGAGAAATTGTGCTCCACAGTAAAATATCCTCTATTAAAATTAGCACCTTGGGATTTAAAGCTATCCCTAACTAGGAAAAAATACATTGTCCTGTAAGAGATCCAATGATACCAGAATAATTGAGGATGGTGATAAGCAGAACTCATTAGTACAAAACATTTTAATAGTACTATCAATATTCTCCTACAGATTTAATTGTGTCCATATTTGATTGTGTTCAGATGGCCTTTGAATGTCTCCAGGGGTGAAGTCACTATCCCTGGAGATATTCAAAAGCCATCTGGACATGGGCCTTGGCAAACAGCTCTAGATAGTCCTGCTTGAGCAGGGGAGGCGAAATGACCTCCAGAGGTCTTGTCCAACCTCAGTCATCCTGTATTTCTGTGATGTCTTTGTCATATACAGAACGTTTGCCTAGAAATTTCAAAGAAGAAAGCCCAGGTTGGGAGTGTAATTATCCAGATAGGAAAAATCAATTGAGCATTAACAGTGCAATTCAGTAAGGAAAAAAACCAGCCTACCTTGTCTTATAGCTGTAGATAGAGTGGTCAGGAGCACTAACACAGATGAATAAATCACAAGAAGATAAGTAAGTAATGAGATATTTAACAAAAGACAAAAATGCAGTATGGGACTTGAGAAGACAGTGATAGCAGTAACACTTGGTACAAGGGCTTGAATACTTTTCTTTACCATCTTTCACAATGAGAGGTGGAGAAGAACTGAACCTCAGTTTGAATAATTGCTGGTGTGAGGCAGGCTGTAGAGAGTTGAAGCCCACAGTTCGTGAGCCAAGTCTGTTCCAAGCAAGCCCAAGGGAGATGTTGCAAACAGCCAGCAGAAACTCAGCTAATGTGGCAATTCAAGCTTACAGAGCCTGAATGCAATCTGAAATTTCTTGAAGACAATGTCAGGCGAGTGATGTCTTATTAGACAGACAAATAGGTGGGGTACCTTTGAAGCATACAAAAATATTCAGGCTTCAAGGTCTTTTGACATGATTACAAAAAGCAGTACTGCTACTACTACATCAAAGGCACTGTATTACACCGTATCACCTCTGTTACCCATCAATTTCATTTTCTCATGGATGTGCATATGGGAAAACAAGATCTGTCCAGTTTAGGGCTAGTAGTTATTCAAAGGTATAAATGAACATTTTTATAGCACAGAAAATTATTCTAAAATTACTAATAATGACTGTGGTTTGACCTTTCCATCCTGTCCATTTGACTACACCATTTTTGTCTAAGGGAGTATTCTTCAAACTTAAGTCTGCCCTAGGGTTGAGAAACTGCTCCCCACACTGTTGTTGTTTTCAGAATAAGAACAACCTCCAACATTCACCCAAAGTAGAAGCTTTCTCTTAAGTCCCTCCAAACAGTATTCTCTCTCCACCCAGTGTCAGAGCCTGGAAACAGCTGATGTGAACACTTGTCTCCATATGCAAGTGTGTTTATCCCATCTGCAGAGTCTGTGGACTTCTATATTTCTTTCCTTGATGTTAATACTCATGGCTCTTCACAATGATGCATTCCTCTCCATTCTCAGTTCTGGTCCTAAGGATCTATCAAGCAGGTCTGGATCATGCTAAGCCACACAACAAATGTACCTGCCTGAGGGGGGTAGGAAATGTTCCTTTTAGTAGGAAAAGGTCATGCATGTGTCAGACTAGGGGTCTGAATGCCTTGAAGTTGTTAATTGTGAGTATCTCCTCACCTCTTCTGTGCAACTGCTGCTTTGTTGTGGTTTTTTTTGTTTGTTTGTTTGCTTGTTTAAGTTTCTGATTCACACCCTTTCTCCTTTTAATGCAGACCTAAGAAACTCAAGTCATAAAAGAAGATGTTCATCTAGTACATGCCAGCCAACAGCATGTCCATAACCCCTAAAGCTATAACTGAAGTCTACTAGAAGTTATAGACATTTATTGTAGTGAAAATTACAAAGTTCATGGCTTCCTAGATAAGTTTAAAAGTACTTGGGAAGCATCCCATTAATATGTCCTCAAAAATGATCACCCAAGCAATGAGAATCAACAAGGCAAGTCCTTCACTAGTGAAATTCTGCATGATTTGTTCATAATGGCTGCTCAAAGGTGTCTTCCCTCCTTCCCTGCTGTGTGTCAGCATGGGATTTTTACTTCCCCTCCCTGTTACATTGCTTTATGAAGCCTTCTGCCTGCCACCTGCAGAACAAGTTGCAGTTTTTCTTCTCTAGCAAAAGGTAGGCAAAAGTCTGATGTTCATGTGCTTATTATTCTTATCCAAAGCAAGCTGGTTGCCTGTGCTTGTGCTTCTGCTTCTGCCTCCTACTTTCCAATACCAAGATGCAGGATGGCACTTTTAGAAAAGAGCTGAAATTTCAGCATAGATGGTCCCCAGGAGTCCAAACCAGATGCAAAGGGAAGATATAACAGGTGAGTGACAGCATCTCTGGGGGACTGTGCTCTTTTAGCATTGCAGCTGGCGCTGCAGGACTGCCACAGATGTCTAGAGTGACACGGAAGACATACGGTGCCTGTATCTAGTTTGGCATCTTGGAAGGACTCACCTGAAGAAGAGTATTCTTTCTTCTATGTACCTTAGTGATCCTAGAGGTTCATCCATATGACGTGAAAAGGAGTGAAGAGCTTAAAATGCCCTTGAGGTCTGGTGTAATAGGGCACCTAAATTTCTTGGTAGCTTTTAAGTTCAAGATCCTTTGCATCCTCAGAGATTCCAGCATCAGAATCAGTGCAAAAACTTTTGAGAATATTTGGCCCAACATGTTGAATAATTCAGCTCTTTTCTCCAAAGAACTCTAAGAAGTAAGTCAGGTGGTTCAAGGGGAAGAGCATATAATGCACCATTCCCTACTAAGTATGTGGAAGAATATATGGCTTTTTTTGCTAACAAAGTTTTATTGCTTTGGTTTTCCTGAGTATTTCTAAGTCTTCCTACATCTGCTGCAATACAACCCCATTTTGTATAAAGACCTTAAGGAACCAATTTCACCATCAGCACTTTTATTTACGCAAAATGGCAATGTTTACAATGCTTAATAAAATTATTTCATATGACAGCTTTCTGTAAATTTAAGCCATTTAGTTGCATGTTTCAAATTGTTGTATAAGCTTGTATGTTTTATTATATTTCAAGGACTTTCATTTTTGTCTAGGCATCATCATGGTCATTTCTCTGTTAGATTTATTTTAACTGTAGAGTAACTTCTATAGCCTAGCTGTTCAGAAATCTACTTTGTTTTTCTGTGGAAGAGTTCATTAAAATTATGATGATGTCTAGATTTCAAGTGAAAATCTAAACTACTTAACTAACTCCTGAAAATCTCTTCACCTGGATGCTACTTAAAGATAGTATCATGTTTTAGATCAGATGAGCTGGTTTACACTCCTTTCCCAAGAGTACTTCAAGTACTGTTCAATTTTGTCAGCATTAGGAAATTTTAGAATTGTGATTCTGCTTGATATAATTTTATGGCTGTTCTGCTCTATTGTATTTTCTTTTTTTGCATTGTTTTCTTATTTTAAGTTAGTGAGATACATATGATATGCTTAGCCATTGTTTTACACATTGGTAGTCCTTAGCTCACATCCTGGGTCAGTGAGCTTTCAGTTCTTTTGTCTTATCCCAGTTTAAGTCTGCAATTCTGCTATTGAACCTCATGGGCATTCTCTGGCAAAAGTTGACAGATCATTGTATGCAAAAGTAACATCTTCACCTTTTTATTGGGGATCTGCTGCTCGTCATTTTGATAGATTCTCCTCCAAGTTGCAAATGCTTCTAAGAAGTCAGTTATCTTTAACTGCGTGCTACAGGCAGATGGGAATGCAGAAAAGTTCGCAGAGCCCAATATGACTCAGAAGGTGCAACATCTGCATTTCTACTGACTAGTGATACCTGCAATCATTCAGATACAAGAGCTTCACTCATCACTGATAGAAAGCAGATCTCTGCCTCATAAAAGTAAGGTGTTTCTTGCCACGTATTTTTGCAGGCCCTTCTGGTTTTACAGCGGGTGGAACTGCTATAGCAACCAGGAACTTTGAGACTTGACTGTCAAAAGAGTCTGTCTCCAAACAGCTTCTCAGCCCTTTTGCTGCCAGCAGATCATAGCACAGTATGTTCTGTGGCTCCTCATTATAAAAGCACACATGCCACCCACAATGTGAACTTAAATAAAACCTTTTAAGTACTTTCAGGCAAATGTTCACCTGCAGCACATCAAGTTTAATCTTATTTCCCCTTGGTGAGCCTCACGGGTAGAGTATGCTAACACCTGTGTATTGCTTCTCGCTGAGCAAGTTAAAACCGTGATAGCTCTCTCCTGTGGCAGAGAACGTTAAAAGCACCCTAAAAGAAAAAACACCTTTCCAAAAGGTTAAATGGAAAAGCATCACGAAGAACAAGGAAAACTGAATAGCAGGGAGAATATTTTGCATTTTCTTTCATATTTTTATTTATATAGGAAGAGGAGTGTTTATGCTTCCAGCCTATACATTTCTTGCTTCTGCAGAAATGTATGGGAACACCAAGCAAAATTAAATATTTCTAACATTTCAGTGCCCAGCCTCCCACAAGACACAAAGGATGGCAAAGCTTCATAGCCAGAAAGGCTCTGGCAGCACAAGGCAGGACTCCCAGTCTCATTCCTTTAGTGTTTTGGCTTTCTCAGGGCCAATAAGAATGTCACAGAAAGGGAGAAGTTCAGGGACAATATCAACATCTCTGTATGCAGACTGCCAGAGAAAAGTGCTTAGACCAGCCTCAAATGACACACAGGATTTTGTATCCTCTGGCAAATTGTTACAACACAAACAAATACTTACTCCAACCATACGTTAAAAAAAAAGGAACACCTATCCACCCCTTTCCAACTCAGCCCCATGAACATGCACTTATCAAAGCTTCAGTCTTACCCTTGCAGAAAACCTTGTTTCTTACTTTTTTTCATGTGACTCCCCACTGTCTTCTAGGGCTAGAATACTTCCTCACCATCAAGTCTTTAAGCTGCTTTTGCAGACAGCACATCAAACTGACTTGGGGTTTATTTAGTACTTTCTTGCCAAAGGAGAGCAGGGAAGTTTGCTGTAAGTTGCTCTTAAAATGGGTCTGGATGTAACGTGGCTAATGATGCTTATTTCTTATTATTGTAAAACCCAGCTGGTAAGAGCTATGTCTGTGATTATTATTGCATGTGCTTGTATACTCTTGTGCAAGGATTGCATTTGAAATGAAGAGCATACATATACTTAAAAGGATACTCAAAGCAAACCCCAAAATGTCTAGGAGTTTTAACTTGGTAGAAGTAATTAAAATATATGAAATGAGGTGAAAAAATTCCCCCCCCCCCTTCTTTTTTATCCAACTCCATCTGTATATTCTTTTCAGTTTAAACTTTATAATTCATATGGTAAAACAGGCTTTATTTAACTTTCTGGTCATATAAACTTTGATAGATTTTTTTTAAAGAGGATAAACTGATTGTTTTCTTGTTATTACTTTAAACAATACCAAACTGCATGAGAATGGTAAATATTAAATAACTTTACAGCTGAATCCTTGTGTTGTCTTATACAGCATTAAAAATAGAGTATAATAAAGATATTCCTGCATTCTGCTGGCCATAATCTGACCTGTCTGTTCTGTTTCCCAAAATACTAGAGTTCCTGATAAAATTAGATATATTGATGTAAACTGAATTTCTTTCCTTGATCTCTCCTGCTACCTGCTGGTCAAAGTGTTTATTGTGCTCACAACATTTAATGAAATCCAGTAAATAGGTCAAATGGAAAAAAAAAAAACCAAACACCCAAATCCCATAACAAGTGTTGTCACTGCACATGCCACAAATTAAACTTCTTTGCTCTTCATTTGCATTCTTGCCTTGCCAGCAGGTGCAGATGAAAACCCTTGCTATGTGATACAGAGGCTTTAGAAAGTACAGTGCCAGAAATGCACAGGTGAAAGAAGATGAATAGCTGAACTGAGATTCAAAGAAGCTTCATTCAAAGATAGAAGCTAAAACAGTTATACAGTTGTAAGTAATTTGTAACAGAGGAAATGGAGTAGAATATGGGAAATGCAGCACTACTTTTGAAATTCATTAGTATTTCTAAGGGAGCTTTAAACTGTAAGTTATTCAGGAAACTCAGTGGTCAGAATGTCCTACACGGGAGATGTCTTGCTGGGATTAAGGGATGCATCTGTGCCCTGAAAACCTGTTATGTCCAGAGCAGGCTAGGGTCTGCCAAAGGTATGGATGTCTTGCTAAACAAGGAAGAAGTCTGAAACAGCAAGGAATGAAGTACCAACTTTCTGGTTTCAGGCAATGAAGAGGCTGATAAGAAGATGGATGAATATAAGTGCCAAAGTGTCTGGTGCCCTGTGATAAAGAAATTGTGGGGCAAGTTGTTGCAGCTAAGAAGGCTGCAGATGAGATGCACCCAGGAGCTGTGGTCTTCTGGTGAGACTTTCTACTGCTTTGAATTGTGAGGTTTTCTGCAGAGGGATTTCTTACTGTGGAAGGACTAAGGCATGTCAGTTCCGTCAGGTTCTGCCTATGGACCTGGCTGTTTCTGGAAACAGGTAAGTCTGCTGTTGGCCAGGAATTTTGCATGCCACAAACCTGTGTATATAATACTTCTTTAATTTCATTGAACTGGGAATTCAGGGGGCCATACATTGGAATCCTTCTCTTCATTAAGTGTATTGCAGTCACAATAATGACTATACTGATGGGTGTGCTCTTGAACAGATGTGATTGGGTTTAGTGATACAGTCAATCAAGGGGAGGGTGGCTGTTAAATGACTGGCCTTAGAGATGGTCACTTGCTATATGACTTATCCTTTGGTGTCCACTATGTGTGAAAGACGAGACAGAAATTAAATTCCTTAAAACTTCTTATGTACCCAAATGCTGCAGGGTCTTGGAGGAGGATGGAATGACTTAAACAGAAAGACAGAATTTGTCTGTTCTTGTTTTTAATTCTGTTCCATTTATATATTTTACAGTAGCATCAGTGGGAGAGTTTCCATTCATTGAACAAATTTGCGTATTTGGAATTCTGGGTGCAATGCTTAAAACTGTTGAGTGATTGATCTGCTGCTTTTCATCTTATAATGAACTGAGCAGTTTTTCCTCCCCACACCTCAGCCAGCTTTTAGTTGAAAGTCTTTGACTTTAGCAGGGATTGCAAATACAAAGCAGCTTGCAAAGTTAACGATTTTGTATATAAATCATTTTTGCATGGGCAGACACAAAGATTTCCCACCATTAAATTTATAGTTTGAACAATAGTAATTGCTTCCTCCCTCCCTTACTTCCTCCCTCCCTCCCTTTCTCCCTTCTTTACTTCTTTCCCTCTTTCCTTTCCTTTCCATTGTACAGTACTTTTGGAACCTGGGTATTGTGGTTTAATCCCAGCCCACGACTAAACACCACACAGCTGCTCACTCACTCCACCACCCACCCCCAGCAGGATTGTGGAGAGAATCAGAAAAAAAAAGTAAACCTCGTAGGTTGAGATAAAGACAGTTTAATAGCTAAAGCAAAAGCCATGCACGCAAGCAAAGCAAAACAGGAATTCATTCACTACTTCCCATGGGCGGGCAGGCAGGTGTTCAGCCATCTCCAGGAAAGCAGGGCTCCATCACGTGTAACGGTTACTTGGGAAGACAAACGCCATCACCCCAAACATCCCCCCTTCCTTCTTCTTCCCCCCCAGATTTCTATGCTGAGCATGATGCCAGATGGTCTGGACTATCCCTTGGGTCAGTTGGGGTCAGCTGTCCCAGCTGTGTCCCCTCTCAACTCCTTGTGCCCCCCCAGCCTGCTCACTGGTGGGGTGGGGTGAGAAGCAGAAAAGCCCTTGGCTCTGTGTAAGCACTGCTCAGCAGTAACCAAAACATCCCTGTGTTATCAACACTGTTCCCCGCACAAATCCAAACTATAGCCCCATACTAGCTACTGTGAAGAAAATTAACTCTATCCCAGCCAAAACCAGCACAGTGGGAATGGCACTTAAAGAAAAATTCCAAATGCAAGTTGTGCTATGGCTGACTTACAGATAAAAATTGATCTGGACGTGGTAAGAAGGGATTTTTTTTGTGAACTGGTGTTACACTCTGATACTAGGAGCTGAAAGGGAACTTGCTGCTGCACAGGAACCACATATACTTTTCAGTTCAGCCACTATAACTCTGAGTAAAAATATCCCTGCTGTGCTTGCTACCCAAGAAAATATCTGATCAGCTGCTGGTTTTTTATTCTTTCATTTTCTGCAAGTAAATGTGCTTGAGACTGCTTGACTGGAGTGGACCTGATTGGCTAAGCTATTCTGGAGCAGATGTCCAGATATTTTTTCAGCTGATCCTAATATCCATTCGAAATATTTTTCTTCTCTGTAGGATGTGAGACAGAAAGAAAGATTGCATTCAGGAGAAAAGTAAAAGTTTTAGAATAAATGTTCTTTTTTTCTCTAAAGAAAATCTGCACATATTCCATTATTTTAGAAGAGTTACTGGAAATTATTTGTTTCATCACAATTATGTCAGTTACATTTTCTCAGCAAAAAAAGGTATGGCTGGTTTTTGAGATGCTGTTCATTTTAATTGATTTTTCATGGCTTTAAAATCCCTACATATAATTGTCAAGTTGCTTTAAAATAAAAGTTATCAATACTTCTATGTGATAAGGAATAGTTAAAATTCATAATGTACAATGAAAACATCTTAAATTTCAGGAGAGGATGGAAGTCATGTTTTTGTAAAGGGCTGTGCTGCTGTGGACGTGATGACTGAGACATTCAAATTTGTGAGTGAAATACGTCTAACAGTGCATTCAGGTAAGCTGCTCATTTTTATCTAGAGAAATATGAAGATGGTATTTCTAAGTGCCTTGCTCCCATTTAAAATTCCCAAACATGAAAAAATTGGCAGGAGCACAAATCGCTTCCCTGCCAACTATAATAGCCAGTTTTGTGAAATAAAAGGAAGATAATCAGTAAAATTCTGCTTATAGTAGAATCTTTTTCAAAGCTATTGTCTAGTATAGCGATGAAGCATCTTCCCAGAGGTGACATTCTGAACAGAAAGTGCAGCCAGGTAAGAAAGATTGGAAAAAACCACTGCAAATAGGTGGATATGAGCAAAATAGATCATATTATTCCCTGTGCATTTAAATGAACTTAAGTTAAAATAAAATTAAATTAGCCAGCTGTGTGTATTATTTTTCAAGGCCAGTACCAACTGAGATCCTTGCTACTAAATCATGTGTTATCAGTTTGATGTCACTCTGTAAATTCAGGCCTGCTTTCTGACTGGACAAACTGATTGTGACTGCCAGTTCAGTCCTACAGGAGAGAGGGTTTGAAAGCTACTGCCTGCTTATAGACAGAAACATGGTGTAGGATGATTTGTCCTCTGGGGAAGGAGTTGAAGCTATATTTGAGAAAGGAAAAATTAGTATTAAAATCCTACAATGCTTCTTTTCTGTATATCAGCAATTTGAAAAAACTAGAAAGAAATGAGACTGTAAGTACTCAAACGCCAACAAAATAAATGCTACACTAATGTTGTAAGAGAAGTGACTGATTTTGGGGAGCAAATAAAAGGAGCTCACAGGGAAGATGTCTAGAGGGCTTATGTTAGCTTTTCCTTAGCAACACAAAGAGGTTATTACCTATTTTTTTCAGTAGAAAATCACAATGAGTTAGAAAGATTATTGACTGCTGGGAAATGGCCTTTACTTGCAATTCACAACCCTAGCTGCTTGAAAGCTTTGCACTTAACTTTGAGCAAGGTCAAAGAACAGAAATTTGCCCTCACTGCTCTATCATGCGATGAGTCCACCTGCCTAAATTAATTATTCATGAGTTAAGCAGAATTAGATTGAGAGCCGAATCTCGAGAAACTATAGTTAGAGAAGTGTACCCAGTCAAGAAGAATGACTCCAGTGAACCAAATAAGGCTCATCCTCCTAGCTGAAAACTGCACTCAATAGTTCTGTGATTGGACACAGTCCCAGTAACTTAATGTAAAGTTCTCAGCTACCACATAGTGCTGGTGTAGCCAGCTCAAAGCGAGTCTTTCAGAAGGGGATATGTCTGAAAGTCAGTGCAAGTAGGTCTGAAAGCAGAAATGGTTATTTGGGCAAATGTATGCAATATCTCAAAGTAGATTATTTTAGAGATCTCTCTGCACTGTAATACTAGCCTTCAAGCAATTTGGAGGATGCCATTAGAAACCACAAAATGCAAGTGAAGTGGTGCCCAGTAACAGGACCAGAGGCAATGGGCATAAACTGAAACAGAGGAGGCTCCATCTGAACATCAGGAAACACTTTATCACTGTGAGTGTGACCAAACACTGGCACAGGCTGCCCAGAGAGGTTGTAGAGTCTCCCTTGTTGGAGACATTAAAAAGCTGTCTGGATGTGCTCCTGGGCAACCAGCTCTAGGTGGCCCTGCTTGAGCAGAGGGGTTGGATTAGATGAATTCCTGAGGTCCCTTCCAACCTCAACCATTCTGTGATTGTGTGGCTGCATGTGGTCTCATCTCCTTTCTGAAAGAGATGGTAATGTAGCCTGAATTTTTTAACCTTAGTCTGTAAGTTGAAACAGACTTTCCGTTGGAAAGGCTTTGCTCAGGTGCTGCAGCTCTGGGTTCAAAAACATTAAAAAGAAATTGCATTGTAATATTAATTGGAAAGATCAGCTTAACAAATGGGATATGTTATTTTGTATGGACACAACACATTTTATGGTTGACAAAAGGAAGGTGCAAAGAGGAGGACTAAAAGGAAAAACAAATTTTTTGCAATGGCTGAAAAACAGTGAAGAAAAAGAATTCATGTCTGGGACTGAAACAACACTGAAACTGGCACTAAGTGGTTCATTTTCAACCACAAAAGATGGTAAAAAAAGATAACTACAGTGGGGACAAACATTACCCTTGTAGGGTGTTATAAGTTCTTGTAAAGCTGTTAGCTAGTGTGTGAACAACGATAACTGGAAAATAACACTTGGGACTGGAACTAGACTGAAAGTAAATCCTGGTAAGAACAGAAGATAGAGGGGCAGAGGTGGATGTGAAAGGCCATTCTAACAGTTAAAAAGTGAGGTCTTGAAAAGAATGAGACTGGGGGTACAAGGTCTTTCCCTCAGCAATATCTTACCTATTTTAGAATAGATCAAACTCCTTGGGTCAACACCTAATAGAGACAATATGTTACTGACAACAGTATGAAGGCTGTGTGCTTACTTTACACAGCACCTGGCTTTAAGAGCATGGTCAGTTATTGTAATTAAACCCTGTAAGGGCACGATTCTTTAGAACCAATGCAGATTTGCTTCAGCTTCTCTGTTCTACAGATAAAGAAAAAAGCTGTAGAAAGGAACCATAACAAGATTTTGTAACCATTTCCTTTCACTTCTATGACCTTGTCTAGTGTGTAGGAGAGCTGAATTCCCTATTCAGGGATGGGACAGGTTTGAATAAATCCTGCTGTTTACCTAGGGTCAGCTGTTCTGAATTCATGATGCAGGGGGGAAACCCCATTGTAATGGGGATCATACAACTGTCCATATAGCAGGAGTGGACCTGTGATAAATGACGGCATCTGTGTCTGCAGAAAAGGGGCTTCATTCTATAGGGTGGAGAGGCCATGTGCAGAATCTGGCTTGGAGATTAACCAGTCTTGAACCTAAGCCATTTAATTAGAATTATTATTAAAACACAGCTGCATAGGACAGAAAAAAAATGTACACCAAACGTTGGTCAGAGAGTAATGTTTTCAAGATATTAAGCTAAAGTACTTACTGTAGGATTGCAGTAAGCCTCTGGTGGTTCTGAAGATGCTTTAGCAAAGTTAATGAGGTTTGGAAATAGATTTATAGTATCCCACAACTAACAAAAGAGAATTTTAAACCACTTCCTGGAACCTTCTTTAGAATTGAATAGTTAAAATAATGTATCAGGTGCAAACTGGCTGTTTTGTAAATATTCTCATGGTGGCATAGCATTGAACAGTTCATATCAAGACACATATTTGGAAGTGGATATATTTGCATATGCTTTCAAGTAAGTCCAAATGGGAGAAAACATCTCTACAAAATCTATTGCTTTACAGCTAAACTAGACAAACAGGATCGATTCAGTACTTCTTCTCAGTAATTCAGCAGCTCTGATCCCGTATCCTGTTAATTCAAAGTGAACACTTAAAGCTGCTTTTAACATCCTTTAGTGTTTTAATTCTCAACATCACTATAGCAGATCATACAGCTCTGTAGGGTGCCCATCATAGTAGAAAATTGTGTGGTTTTGTAGTTTTAGAGTGAAGGTCTAATAGAGAATTCTAAGAAAGAAAGTGACGGGGGCAGAAGCATTTAGTTGTCTCAAAGAACTTTTCTAGATTGAGGTCTTGGAAGTAATACTCTGAATTTGCCTTAAAGAACACAGCATGTTTTGCACCAGGCTGAAACATGTAATTATCCTTGCTTAAGTTGTGAGAACTCAGCAAGTTTAAAGGTCAGGTTTTTGTAAATCTTCTTAGGTTTTTGTAAAGTTTCTTACAGTTGTGATATATTGGTTTTAAGAAAATAATCTTTGGTCACAGAACAGCTTAACAATAAATTCAAGTAATTCTGAAGAACCTGATCATTCCAGAGTAACTACTGAGCAGCAGTACAATGTTGCCTGGAATTGGGTGGCTTCCACAGGTTTTATATCTGAGTTCTGAGTGGCATTTTGAGGTGGTTTGGTAATAACTTCCATTGCAGTGGGAATGCTGGAAGTGGCAATGCACTTAGCTTTGGGACAAGGACTCTCCTGAAGGTAAATCCAAGTGAGTATAATGGAAGAAAAAGAAGAAAACCCCCACATGTTAGAATAAAGAATTATCTGAATATATTCCACTATTATGTTTGCATGCAAGTTTTCAGGCTTACTGATGTGTAGGTAGTCATGTGCAGACAAGAAAGAGATAATACTGAATTTTGGGGCTGCAAAGCCAGTTTCTAGGAATCTCTGTGTATCTGTTGGAATGAAAATAGAGGCAGAAAGTGAGACTGAGTTGCTCTGTAGAGTGTCTGTCTATAATTTTAGTTATAAAGGAAGATTATGGAAGTGTTTGTTATTCTGCCCCCCCCCCCCCCCCCAAAACGGGGGATGTGAGAACAGAGGCAAATTCATATCTTAGAAAGGGATAAATCCTTAAGGCTTGGTCATCATTTTGGTGCTGTTCATGGGCTGAGGGGCATTAGAAAAAAACAAACAAAAAAAACAGCCCAAGTGAAGAAATATCATTGTTGTGTTTAGACTCTACTGGATGAGGAGTTTAGTTTTGATGTGAGGTCCCTCAAAGTTGCAGGCTGGTGTAAGCTGGGACAAGATAAGAACTAACTGAGATGGATGAAGTACTACAGAAAAACTTCCACTCCTGTCTTGCTTTTTCTTATACATCTTCATGGTTATACTTAATTATTCTGACTTCTACAGTTGCTGTTATCATAGAAGGATGTAACTACAACCTCCTCTGTGATAGATATGAGCTGGGCTGATGAGATAGAATCCCACAGCAGTGGGATTCACAGTAGTGAATTGTCACGAGAATTTTTACTAGGGTTTTGATATAGGAAGCCTGAGAAAAAAACACCCCAGAAGACCTATGCATACACATCAAAGTTAAAAAACTCCTTTGAGTCAAAAGCTACTGCCAGCATTTTTGGTAAAGCTCTTTGTCACAGTGAAACTCCATAGGTACCTATGAAAAACTGACTTTTGGAAGGGGGACAAAGCTGGCTGTTCATCCAAGTAAGTGCCAGAAATAAAC